CTGAGAGAGAAGGTGGGCCTGATCAACCCACACTTCTCTCTTACCTAATAGGCCAACCTTTGGCCAGCACCCAAACATTGGAAGCTCAGCAGAGGGATAAGTGCATCGGCCGGCATTCTCAGACTCCAGTCTTTCAAGAGGAAAATGAGGGCAGGTCTCTGGGATTGTATATTGCATCGAATGCTTGGGGTTTCATTATCTGTCTTTTGTTTATGTAATCCCTATTTATCCCTTATTAAACTATTATAATGACACTATATTATCCATAACCAACAGAAGATAAAAATAGTAGTTAAAAGTTACAAAAACAACAACATGCAAATAAAAAACCATCGATCTTTGAATAATAATTTTTTTTTCTTAGGGTTGGTGTGTTTAACGTTAGATTAACAACACAGCAATAGTGCCAGCTGCAGCAGACGGATGTTTGTAGCACCAGAATAAACTTTGACACCTTCATGGCAATAAAATGCATTAAAAATAAATACAGGACACAAGTGAACATTGAATATGATCTCTGAGGGGTGGACTCCAAAATTAAAACAAGACTGAAAACGTTGTGCCCACCAGTCTCTATTAGTGAGGTTAATATTAAACAAATTATTAAATGCCTATAAAATTATAAGGTTGTTAGACTGTTGCATTTTTTTGTGGTCAATATGCTTGTGTTTATATAGGCGTATTATTGTGTGTGCAACGTTTGTATATTTATAACCATTTCTAATGAATGAAGAGGTTGCGAGTCACTTGCATTGTTATTTTTGGGGTCACAGGCTGAAATGTTTAGGAATCCCTGGTGTAAATAACAGGTACACCGACAGCATCCTTTCTTATTTTTTTAATTTAACTGAATTATAAAACATTCTTGAACCTTTGCACATACAGTATTTTACAAAATAATGATTAAGGATAATCTGCACAATTGCTTGAAATATTCTTTAAGAATGTAGAATGAATAGGACATACAGGACTTTAAATAACTTCATATAATTTGTAAAATTTCCTGCCTGTGGATGATTTTGTGTAGCACAAATTATGTACATTTATATAAATTACACATTAAACAGGCCCATAGCCACGGGAGTTCGGGTAGTTCGTAAGACCCATCCCTCACTGACAAAGGTGCAAAATTTGTCCCATACAAGAGCTAATGTCATATTTTGCCTGCTACGACATCATAAATACTGAAAATAACCCATCGAAAAAAAGGCTTTAAGCCCAAGTGGAGTCCTCTGTTGGCTGTCGATTTAGTTTGACTTTAGATAATCGTTTTCGTTAAATGCAAACAATTATAATACCTACTGTATTATTGTAAAATATAGAAAACATTTTACAGGTAACTTTTATTCTAAATCTTGGAGCTTCATCTTGATGTAAAAATGACCAATAAAAATGTGTGAAGCACCAAAAGCGACCCAAGTTAAAATTAATTTTAATACTAATTTGGCTATTGTTTTTATCCATGAAATTTCAATCATACTTTTTTTTAATCTATAGGCTATCATGAATCTCTACATTATTTTTATCATTAAATATATTAAATGTTCTGGTCAGTTTGTTATTTGCCTATAACAAATGACAATAGACTACTTTTTTTTTTTTTTTAACTTTCACAGATTCCGATTTTATTTTTTTCTAATGAAATATAATGTAATAAATTTATATTTAATATTTTATATATATATATATATATATATATATATATATATATATATATATATATATGTGTGTGTGTTTTTCATATTTCTTCATTCTAAATGTTTACGAAATTTTTGGTACATCAAAATGTGTGATTATTTTGAATACGAAACTGACGCATGCAATATTTTATGCGTAAAAAAAAAAGGTGATTAAAATGTCACTAAAAAGCAATGTTTACAATAAATAGAAAATGAGGTGAATAACTGCAAAAATGACCACTTTTTATGGAAAAAAAGAACCACCTCTTTCACAGGGCTGGTAGCGGGTCTGTAAAATGCACATCAAAAGAGCACGCCCAAAACATGCCTAAAAGAGAAAACACTTCACTGTACCTTGGAGAAGTAAATGAAGTAAAAGCGCTGCTTTCATATTCCTGGGTTAAAAACAACAAAAACCAAAATTAACTGTGGGTAAAATAAATTTACTAACATTCTGTTCAATTAACACCAATGTGTTAATCATACTGCAGTTTTTCATAATAATGTAATTTTCTTTATACCAGTCTTTTTAAAAAGCATGTTAACACGTATCAAACGTTTTCATTCTTACCTCCTCAGTAGTTCTTTGCAGAGGAATGATAAAATAACTTGTTGCTCTGAAGTCAAAGGTGAAAGATGAAGCTCAGTACATTTATTGTTGTAAAGCTCAAGCCCAGCAAAAAGATTAAGATCTTGGTCACGTCAAATGTCAGAGCTCCTCATGTCAGTCCACTTGCGCTGACACTGCAGTCAAACATAGTATTTCCTGACTAGAACACAGTTTCTGACTACAGGGTCTGTTATAGGACCCTCTTGAAACACAAGAGGTAAATTCACAAGTATAATACTTCACAGTTATTCATTATTTTTGGAACTTGTTATTGTGACTGAATGGATTTATGTTTTAACTGCATTTTAAAGACAAGTATACGCTCTTAGTTGATGTACGCTCTTAGTTTTAGAAGAAAACTTTTTTTTTTTAATTTGCTAAGCCACAAACATAAAAAAAAAAAAAAAAAGTTAATAACGGTCGCCTTCAAAAAAGATTGTAGCCAAAAAATATTATAGCACTTTATAAATAGGTATTAGTTATTATTAGTTAATGTATTTCATATCATGAAATACTGTACAATACATTTAATACAATATTCATATTTGTCAACATTAATGAAAATACAGTCATTGTTTATTATTTTTAACTCATTCAGTGCACTAATGCTAAAAAAAAAAAAAACTAATGCTAAAAAACAACTTGAATTTTAATAGTTCATAAATAAATGTTAAACTATGATTATTAAATGCTTTACATATGTTTTTCATTCTTAGTTTCTCTCAGTAAATGCATTTATTAACATTAACTAGTGGAACATTATTGTAATGTGTGACCAAAATACAGTAGCTCAAGGCACTCAATAACATTATATTCCTTTTAGTTCAGTCTATGTAACCACCTCAGAAATGGAAGAGAAAAGAAGTTTTGTAGAACACATATTGGTTTGTTTTTAAGGGAAAAAAATCCTCAAAGCTTCAAACGTCCAATGCACTCTTAGTTCATTGTCTTTTTTTTTTTTTTTTTTAAAGAAATCCACAGTGTATGCAACGTCTTCCAATAAATAATACCAGTTCGTCTTCTACAAAATTAAGCTGCTCATTTCAACTTTAATGGACATCCATTTTGAGGCAATATTTCACAATAAATCCAGCACAGGCTTGTTGGAAATATGTGGTTTAGCCTACATTTTTGTAAAACAGAACAAACACATTTAAACATACAAAACAGTAGCCTATGTTTGACAGCAACTGTTTCTGATGTGATTTAGCAGCTTACACGCTTGTTTTCTTTTTCTGTGGTGAGAGCATAATTTAAGTAGAACTATGATGTGTCCCAATTCACATACTATCCATCCTAAATAGTCTACAGGTGAAAAGAGTAAATAAACTACAAACATGGTGGACACGCGAGACCAGCTGTCAAGTAGAGGCTTTGGTTAAGATGTTTGTATGACTGTTAATTAAAATCTAGCCAACTGGAACATATTTAAATTGCGTATTCTGTGTTATATTTCATCTGCAACAACAATACTGAACTTATATAAAGATGTGTTTGGACATATATTTAATAATTATCCGAAGACCTGATAAGATTTCTCTGCATAAAAGACAAGTAAATGGCAGATTACAGATAACCTGCAGTTGCTTCTCCAAAAAGGTTGGTAAATAAATATGACAGAAATGTGGATGATGTGTGGATGATTGACAGTCACAGGCCTATATTTGGTTTATATTCAGCCCACATCCCTCAATAAAGTTTGGTTTTTGGCCCTTTATAAAAAAGGTTCGGGCATTCCTATATGTACTAGGCTACAGTATGTTTCTTCTAAGTTTGACCGTAATGCTACTTTTTAAAACCCCTTTATGTTCCACTAACTAGGGGTCATAACATTCAACAATTATGCAGTAATTATGCATGCTATATCTCGCCTGCCTCATAATGGAAAAGGCTAAATGAATCATTATTAGTGCCGAAAACACAACAAAATATAACACACTGATATACACACAGAGAGCAGCATTTACAGCGGATCTTTCAATATTGTGGTGATATTAACGTACTGTAAACTAAGTAACTTAGAAATCATTTTGACTAAGGTCTGTCTTTAAACACTGTAAGAGTACTGCTGTCCATACGAACTATAACTTTGCCATCTGAATGAACAAAGAAAGGGCACTGATTGCACACACCGAATCTGTAGACAGGACAATCAACACATACTGCTGCTTTTTTTAAAGGAGACAAGCAGCAAATCCAGTTTTGGCTGGGCTCCCTGCCTGCCTAGGCTGGTCAAGCTGGTCTTAGCTGGTCATCTCCAAGCCTGACCAGCTAAGATCAGGTTGGAAATGGCTGGAAACTAGCCTGGAAATGGCCAAAACCCCTCTAAAACCAGCCTGGTTGACCAGCTAAAACCAGCCAACCAGCCTAGTCTAGTTTAAGCTGTTTTTTTCAGTAGGGATACAGTTTACCGGAAGCGCTAAACCCAGGTTACTGCCAAATTAAAGTCCTATTAGCATGCTTTGACATATACCCTATTCCGCTGTGACAAACTCTGAAATGGAGACAAACCAAAGGAAAATGAATGAATGAATTTGCCACTGTAAAGGGATTCATGAACTTTAATCAAGCTGAGAAAATCTTACAAGTTGCATAAACATATGAATACAAATGTGGCATACGTTTAATGTAAAACTGTATGCAAATACATTTTTGTAAATAAAATTTGAGTTAACATAAAAAAAACATAACGATTAAATAGCTATAGTAACAACAATTAACTCACAAAAGTGATATATGATACACAATACAACATGTACTGTAGCAATACAATTAAATAGGATTCAACTGTAGGATATTTAAAACTCAGATGCAAAAGTATTTTCTTTAACACAAGCTCAATTTGTAATGATACATTCAATGATGTATAGTCTAGTATATATTATCTAAAGCCTATAGGTAGACTGTAGAAGATTACTCTAAGCTTAAATGTGATATTTAGCATGCATAAAAAGCTATTTTATCTGAGCTATTTTAAAACATTAGTAATCAATTCGACAACCCTTCAATAAGCACATTTTGGTTGTTTTGATGTCTAGAATGTTTATCGGTCATTTTCATAGATGTCGAGTTCTTCCATGTTGTTGTAATTAGCCTCATAATCATTACTACCCTAAAATAAAGATTCAAGAAAGACAGTGTCAGGCAACATTCACAAAACAAATTGACAACACAGAGCCAGAGTATGTTTTCTGCTGTGCAATACATTAATAATATGAATAAAAAGATAATAATACTCACACGTCTGGATTTTGGCTCACTGAGAGGCAAGGGGAAATATTAAATTGTTATGTTTATTGCATTTACACAATAAATATATATAATTTTGTGAACATTTTGACTGGAATGTGTTAAATTGCTATACTGTACCTTTTTGGTGACGGCATGTAAGGTTTGAAAGGTTTGTTTCCTGGCACTGTACTTGTATCTTTTGACCTGAGAACAGTTGTGTGTTAGAAAAGCAAAGTGATTCTTTAAATGTTTGTAACAGAGTTAAACCCCCCTCCTCTGAACCCGAAAAGGTGCTCTAGCAACAGATGCCGGAGGACATGGTCTTTAGCCCCCTTGTTAGAGCAACCAACTCTCATGTGGAGAGTTGCCTGTTCAATCCCAGCTCGGAGCTGGTTGGATGGTGTAGGACTCTTGGGGTTACATTGGTGCCGTGACCAGGATGGGACTGAGATTTAGGGGTGTGAGTGTAACAGAGGTCAACTAGTGAAATGCTGTGCAGTGAAACCCATACCTGCCAACATTTGTCCCTAGATATCCGGGAGATTGGGGCGGTTGGGTTTGGGGGTGCAGTGTCTGAATAACATTGTTGAATAACTGGTGCAAAGGTCAGTTAAGATGTCAACGTGATGAAAGAGGGTGTTATGAGAGATAAGCATGGACATATGGGTGTGAATGTATTCACTGATGATTGCAAGTACCCATATGAGCCTGAGTTATTAGATTCAGTGGTTGTTATCTGGAAATAACATATCTTAGAATGTTGCAGCCAACCAATCAGAGTCATGCATTCCAGACAGTCATGCAATAATGTCTCATAACAACCCCCTAGATCAAGGATCATCAAACTTGTTCATGGAGGGCCGGTGTCCTGCAGATTTTAGCTCCAACTAATCAAACACACCTGAACAAGCTAATCAAGGTCTTATTAGGTAAACTTGAAACACCCAGGCAGGTGTTTTGAGGCAAGTTAGACCTAAACCCTGCAGGGACACCGGCCCTCCAGGAGCAAGATTGGTGACCCCTGCCCTAGATGTACATTATCCCCTACTTATTACACGGCTGTCTGGAATACTTTGATTGGTCAGTTGCGACAATCCAAGGTACATTATTCTAAAGTAACAACTACTAAATAATTCATCCAGGAACTTGGAATCATCTTGACCATTAGTGAAAATATTCACATACATATTCTTACCTACAATAGTATCTGGATGCAGACTTGGATTTGCAAGCTGAGATTGCATATCTCAAAGATGCAATGTCAGACACAATGCACTCAATGAGGCTAGTGACGTCACTGTGAAGGGTAGGGTTAGGTGGGTGCATTAAAAAGCACTGCATGCACCTCAGATTGCAACTGCAGCAAGTCTGCATTCAGACCTCTCTCCTTATATTCACATTCATATGTATCTGCTTTTCTGTCACGCCATAGTTTTTGACTGTTCGGTGCCGCCTTGTGACTGAATAATACACAGGTTAGTATATACTACATTTAGCTGTTTTAGTTTCTGTCAGCTTTGTGTTTTTGACTGTTTGACGCCGTCTTGTGACTGAATAATGCACAGATTAGCGTACACTGCATTTAGCTGTTTTAGTTTCTGTCAGGTTTGCGTTTTCGACTGTTTGGTGCCGTCTTGTGACTGAATCATGCACAGGTTAATGTATACTCCATTCAGCTGTTTTAGTTTCTGTCTGGTTTGTGTTTTTGACTGTTCGATGCCGTCTTGTGACTGAATCATGCACAGGTTAGTGTACACTGCATTCAGCTGTTTTAGTTTCTGTCTGGTTTGTGTTTTTGACTGTTTGACGCCGTCTTGTGAGTGAATCATGCACAGGTTAGTGTACACTGCATTCAGCTGTTTTAGTTTCTGTCTGGTTTGCGTTTTTGACTGTTTGATGCCGTCTTGTGACTGAATCATGCACAGGTTAGTGTATACTCCATTCTGTTGTTTTAGTTTCTGTCAGCTTTGCTTTTTTGACTGGTGCCGTCTTGTGACTGAATCATGCACAGGTTAATGTATACTCCATTCTGTTGTTTTAGTTTCTGTCAGGTTTGTGTTTTTGACTGTTTGACGCCGTCTTGTGACTGAATCATGCACAGGTTAGTGTACACTGCATTCAGCTGTTTTAGTTTCTGTCTGGTTTGCGTTTTTGACAGTTTGATGCCGTCTTGTGACTGAATCATGCACAGGTTAGTGTACACTGCATTCAGCTGTTTTAGTTTCTGTCTGGTTTGCGTTATTGACTGTTTGATGCCGTCTTGTGACTGAATCATGCACAGGTTAGTGTACACTGCATTCAGCTGTTTTAGTTTCTGTCTGGTTTGCGTTATTGACTGTTTGATGCCGTCTTGTGACTGAATCATGCACAGGTTAGTGTATACTCCATTCTGTTGTTTTAGTTTCTGTCAGCTTTGCTTTTTTGACTGGTGCCGTCTTGTGACTGAATCATGCACAGGTTAATGTATACTCCATTCTGTTGTTTTAGTTTCTGTCTGGTTTGTGTTTTTGACTGTTTGACGCCGTCTTGTGACTGAATCATGCACAGGTTAGTGTACACTGCATTCAGCTGTTTTAGTTTCTGTCTGGTTTGCGTTTTTGACAGTTTGATGCCGTCTTGTGACTGAATCATGCACAGGTTAGTGTACACTGCATTCAGCTGTTTTAGTTTCTGTCAGGCTTGCGTTTTTGACTGTTTGATGCTGTCTTGTGACTGAATCATGCACAGGTTAGTGTATACTCCATTCTGTTGTTTTAGTTTCTGTCAGCTTTGCTTTTTTGACTGGTGCCGTCTTGTGACTGAATCATGCACAGGTTAATGTATACTCCATTCTGTTGTTTTAGTTTCTGTCAGGTTTGTGTTTTTGACTGTTTGACGCCGTCTTGTGAGTGAATCATGCACAGGTTAGTGTACACTGCATTCAGCTGTTTTAGTTTCTGTCTGGTTTGCGTTTTTGACTGTTTGATGCCGTCTTGTGACTGAATCATGCACAGGTTAGTGTATACTCCATTCTGTTGTTTTAGTTTCTGTCAGCTTTGCTTTTTTGACTGGTGCCGTCTTGTGACTGAATAATGTGCAGGTTAGTGTACACTCCATTCAGCTGTTTTAGTTTCTGTCAGCTTTGTGTTATTGACTGTTTGGACTGTGTGGCCAGAGGAGAAATGGTCATGCCCAACTGAGCCTTGTTTCTCTCAAGGTTTTTTAATTCTCCAATTTTGCCAATTGGTAAAGGTTTTTCCATGCTGCTGTTGCCACTGGCTTGCATGGTTTGGGATCTGTAGAGCTGTGCATTGATGGATTTGCTCTTTAGTGTTCGGACTCTCGGTAGTGATTAATAAACCACACTGAATTGAGCTAAACTGAACTGAACTTAAACACTGAAAACTTAACTACACTATCTTAATTTATTATGATCTTCTTTGTGAAGCTGCTTTGACACAATCTACATTGCAAAAGCGCTATAGAAATAAATGTGAATTGAATTTAATGTTTTCACAGAATAAAACTCTTCAGTTTTATACACACTGTAAGATAAATGTAGGGTTCCACACAATTCACTCAAGTTGTGCCAACACAAATTGGTTAAGTGGATTGAACATAAAACAATTAATTTTTCACCAACAAATTCTTGTTTCAGCTCATTTTAAAACAGCACTCTACTTTATGCTGACCTTCTGATAAGCCTGTCAGGCTTTCTTCTGCAATAACAACCTCCTGAATATACTTTATCCCTAAACTGTCATGTGACCATTAGCAACATCTTTACATCGAAGGGCGACTGTTAAAAATGTTTTCAAATAGCCTGTCTAAGGGAATATACACAAAGAGTTACCTGCGTTGCCTCTTGCATATGATGACTACAGCAAGTACACAAGCCAGCAGGAACACAAGTGAGGGTGTTAGGATGTAAAGACCAGTAGTCTTCAGCACATCGAGCATCGCGTCTGTTTCATTAGGAAAGTTAATCATTATTACTACACAACTAATAGACGTATAACAACTGGTTTAAAATGCATAGCAATGAAACATAAGCTATAGTGAAAATTTGATGATTAGATGCACCACTAGTTTTAGAGTGTAATATAATCAGTAGAAAACAATATACTTTATGATAAGACATGGAGAGAGCACTTACGTTGCAAATATAAGACAACAGATGCTGTGATATTTCCTCCAGAAAATGCTGCTGAGCAGATCAGTTTCCTCCCATGGTCTTCTTTTGCCCCCAGAAATGTTATGGTGGAATAGGCGACTCGATCAAAATCAGAAAGTGTTTTTGTCCCCTCTGAGACCTGCATGTTCTCGTAGTTCCATGTGATGGTTGGATTCTCTTTCTGACAGAAGTGGTGGACGGTACAAGTGAAGTTCTGTTCAACATCTTCAGTGACATCTGCTATTTCTGGCTCAATTGTTATTTTTTGATGAACACCTAAAATTCGATTAAATCTTGTAACAGGTCCAACATTTAATGTGTAGTAACATCTCACAAACTGGTTTATATTTCTTTTTACTCACATTCTGAACTTTGTCTTTTTGTAGCTGTCACTGTTGTGCCACCATGATGTGTTACTGAGCACTCAAAAGTTGTGTTTTCTGCCTTTATGACAGCTGAGCGTGTCAGAGTGATTCTGCACTGGCCGTCTTCATTACACTCACCATTTGTTTGGTCAGATCCTTCAATACCGTTCAGAGTGATGTTTGGTTTGCTGTATGGGCACGCGTGGGAAGCTGAACATGTTACTCTGATCTTGTCCCCTATCTTCTCTCCTCCAGAAATACTAATGCTTGGCGGCTGTGCACTCACTACAAATTGAATGATTGTCACAATTAGACAACACTCTCTGATTAACAAGATACGCAGAAGCAAATAAAAATGTTAAAGTATTGACATACCATCAACAAAGATTGTAGAGGTGACATCATAAAATGCAAAAGTGCGCCATCCAACATTTTCAGGGTCAATCCATGCGTATATTTTCTCTCCATGATGGGACTGTTCCAGGTTTCTGATCAGCAGACTGCAAGCACCACTTGAGTTTCCATATAAATCAGTTTTTCCTCTGAACTTGTCAATTACTTTATTTGCATTTGAAGGATCACAGACTAAAGGATAACCTCTAGAGACCCACTGATACCACACAACTCTGTTTGGCTTTGTGGGTGGGTGTAATGTAAAGCTGAAAGAACATGGAATCACCAGACAGGAACCTTTGAGGC